TCGAGCCTGCCCTGTCATTCAATAGGATCATGGCTGATCTATTCTAACTCCACCTATCCGCCTTATCCCCATATCCCTTAATCCCTTTATCCACAAGAAATCTATCAATCTCAGTCTTGAATATGTTCAAAGACTGAGCATCTATAACCCTTTGGGGTAGAGAATTCCATAAATTCATTACCCTCTGAGTGAAGAAGTTTTTCCTCAACTCAGTGCGAAAGGGTTTACCCCTAATTTTAAGACTGTGACCCTGATTATAGTTTCTCCCACTATCTATTCTGTCGTGCCCCTTTATAATCTTATAGGTTTCTATAAGATCACCTCTCATTCTTCTATATTCTAGATAATATAGGCCTAAATTGCTAAACCTATCCTCATAACTCATCCCCCTCATCCCAGGTACCAACCTAGTGAATTTACATTGTACCCCCTCCAAGGCAAGTACATCTTTTCTTAAATAAGGAGACCAAAACTGCACACAATACTCTAGGTGCAGTCTCACCAGGGCCCTATACAGTTGCAGCAAGATTTCCCAACTCATATTCTAACCCTTTTGTAAGAAATGCCAACATACCATTAGAGAGAGGCGGGGGATGTGAAGCAGGCAGGAACCCACTGAGAGGAGAGAGCGAGCAGGATGGTAGGGGGTTAGGAGGTCTGGCTGACCAAAAAAAAAACATGTGATATGATAGTTTTCACGAGCTAGATGCTGGACCTGTCTTGAGAGATTGCACCACTACTGTATTATAATAATAGTAATCCTTGCATTTGATATAGCATCTTTCAAGTCAGGAGGACATCTCAAAGTGCTTCACAGGATTCTCTGTAAAGTGTAGTGACTGAATTTTTGTAGGCTAATAGAGTCGTGAAAGTCCATCAAGTTTCTGATTCTGCAAAACACAACCTATTCCCCAATAACAGAAGAGCAGCCACAATAGGACCAATGATTTATTGGACACGTCCATTGTATTTTTTCTGGCATCCATGAAAGAGTGTCCTTCACAATCAAAAAACTGTAGGATAAAATGTAGTGTGGATAAAAGCAATTTGATCTATAGTTCTTACAGTGCAGGCATCACAATTTATGAAAATGAGTCGGTGTGATCCATCCTATAAAAACTACTATAGTTAAATTGATATTTTTAGTCTGCTGACATTCATCACTGACATTTCTGTGATAAGCCCACATTTTCTGATTATCAGTAATTGTGCTAGACGTAAATTTATTGTATAAAGTTCTACTTTTTATTGCTGTTAATTGGAAAGAATCCTTGTCTCATATTCCACTGAATGGCCAAGCTGGCTGGTCTGATTTCAATAGTGCCCAAGTGTACTACGGTCCTGCCTGGCTTAAGCACTGTCCCACAAACAGTCATGGATTGAGTGACCAAATTTTTATTGTTTCTTTCTTGAGGGATTATTATCAGGCGTGTGGAGTAAGGAAACTTGCCCAAGGTTTCTCCATTCCATTAACTCCATTCCATTATTCTATTGTCATGTAGTTCACCTTGAAGCCAACTCAACTCCAAAGGGTTGCCTCCCTCTGAAGCTGGAGTTCTTGCAAGTGCTGACTTGGCTCAGTGTTCTCTTTCTGCAAGCACTTATTATAAACAAACCTAGCTACGTTTACAGGTTATTCAAGAGCTTTTCCGCGCACATAACCACAGAATAGAAATGAGGGCAAGCAAATATTAACTGGAGGCTCGGTGTACACCCTTGAGTTTCCTGCAGCAGAATCATATGTGAGGGCAGTGATGGCATTCTTCTGGACTATGTAAAATTTGTACTATTGCAAAGCTGTTCTAACTTTGCTTTTTACAACATTCATGTGATGGATGAGAATTGAGTCAAAAGATTATGCCCAAAAGGCAGCTCAGCTGCTGCAGTGGGTTGCTGCCTCCACAATGGTCCAGTGGGATACAGAGTCCTTTACAGTTCACCAGCTGGGGAATTTCTCTTCTTTGACTGAATCTCATGGGAAACGCAGAGTGGCAGTGAGGGCGTAAGGGAGTCTAACCCGCCTTATTGTGCAGTTTTTTTCATGGTCAATGGAAGAACACTATTAGCAGGATCTAGGAACAGGTTGGCCTTATCCTGTCAGTTGTGGATAATACTCAGTGGGGGAAAAGGCAATTTAATAATAAAAATCACAACAACAACAAATTATTTAGATACACGATTTGTAGTATTTCAACAACACTGATCATTATTTTGTTGATTTGAGCCACTAGAGGCCACTCCAATCCTATGTGTTGATGTTGTCAGGTGAGATTGTGTGACAAATTATTTTCATTAAATACACAAAGGTTTCATACAGTCATTGATCTACATTAGCTGTAGAAACCAATAAGTCAACAATAGTTAACTTTTTCCCATCAGTGGTCATGGACACTGAGAAAAAAAGGGCAGGAAATATGCCAATCAGCTGCTTGTGATTTTTACACTGAGCAAATTGATGCTTCCCAGAGTTGGTAACATTGAAGTAACATATAAGAAAAAGGCAATCGACAACACCAAATGCTTGCAAAATGAACTTGCCATTCATGTGTATTTCCTTTCATTTTCAACTTTTTCACTATATTAAAAATGGATGGCATATGGTTGCCTGAAGGTATAGTGGATACTATAGACGTTAGCAAAGGTGCCTGTCTTTCTAAAGCCTTTTCATATGTATACACATATACAATGTATTGTTGCAATGTTTCTCTGTTACAATTCAAAAGCCTGGAACTTTGTTTTTTAAAGTTGTGCTCATATTTCACATAAATTCACTCTGAATTGAACTGTACCTTTTGGGGAGTATCAACCTTCATAAATAGCTTGCCTATTTGAGGATCCAACGAAACAATCTTGAATGATGAATACATTATCGTGTTGTCAGTCTCTGGCAGTGTGCCCAGTCTTTCCCAGAAGACAGAAGTGATGCGATTCAACACAGGGTTTGGTCAATTAAACCAAAATAAGTTTATTTATTTGTTTGGAGAGAGCATGATTCAATAAAATTGGGGAAAATTGTACGGAAGATCACTTCTAAATTAAATAGTAGGAGAACTATAAGTGAGCCTTAGAATAATTCTTACAACAGAGACCAAAAGCTTGATAGAAGAGTTGAATGTTTGCAGAGTAGAAATTCAAATCTGATATTTTAGTATCAAACTTATTTAGCCCACCAATAACTTGACTTTTCAACCAAGAGGTAATGGAAACTCCAGAATGAAGGAAAGATGCTTTTTTATATTTAGAACAGCTTATTTAATACTATAATAATAGTAGGTCTTACTTAAAGGAACATGTACCCCAACCTGATGTGAAAGGAGCTTTATCATATACAAGGCTTTTCTTTGAAGTGCAGACACTTGGAATTTGGTACCATATTCACTGCACCTCACCTAAAAGGGAACAATAACAACAATTTACATTTATTTAGCACTCTTCACAATGGGGGGGAGAGGGGTTGGTAACTCTTCCATCTTTATATATCTTTCCCAACCTCTAAAATAAACCATTTTAATAGTCTGTTGGATTGAGAAAACAGCAGCTTCTTTGCTCCCAAAAAGGGCTGCAGTAGATAGCAAACTTTTATTTCTAGACTTTGTGAACTTCTTTCTAGTAGGAGCACCAGAAAAAATGTTGGTTCTCATCCACAAGTTGAGAATTTCCTTCAAGCTGTTGAGAGCAGCTAACAGATACTTAATGATACCAGTCATCAAACCATACTCTCATGTACTGCACCTGTGGAAACATACTGAATGGATACCAGCACTTGATGGATGAGGAACATGAGGATTATGTGGTGACTTCCTTCCTCAGGTAATTTCCTGTAAATTTGCAGGGAAACCTGTACTTTTCCTGAAATATGCAAATGCAAATGAACTGACTTAAAAAAATGCTAAACTGACACTAGCTCCAGAAATTTCGAACCTAGAGTTTCTTAGATCTCAAAGATGTGAAGTTTTGTTTCTTTGATGATGTTGAATGACTCACACAACGTCATTTTATATAGTTTCTTAACCTTTACAGCGTTGCCAAGGCACTGGATGGTTACAAAAGGTTACAGTGTGATACCAATAGTTTTTGGGTAACACTTTTATCTCCACACAGTGGTTTGTTAAAATTGAAAATGATTTTGGTATATTCCCATTAAAAAGCCATAGCAAAAAATTTTTTAGCAGTTAAAATAAAATCAGCTCCAATGACTTAAAAGTTGCTGCCTGAAACTCTGGTATTACTATACAAAACCTCAGGTAACAACCTTTTCAAAATTCTGGTACAAAAGCCAAAATGGGACAGGAATCCAGTTCATTTTCAAAACACAATAAATTAACAAATGTTTTCCGGCTCTGCATATTTCCCTAACTCTAACATGCACCATTTATCATTGAATTTTAAGGAGGAAATCACTCATTGTTAATATTGATCTAGAAACAAAGCTGTGTTGCTAACCATTTTATTCAAAATATCTGTGATTCCAGGGTAAACAGAAGAAACAGTAGCTGCCAGACAGTGACTGGTTCATCGTCCAGGGCTACCTCTTCTCACTTGAGCTCACCTGTCACTTCTGGTTGTCCATTTGACCTCTCGATGTGTGTGATTTGTCCACTTCCATAAGCAGGCATTTTTATGACCTCTCTGACAGCGTTGATTGGCAAAGATTTGGCACTTTTGTGCTGGATTTGGACTGAAAATTCCCAGAGCCCATTTATGCCCATTTCAAGTAGCTGAGAAAGGAGACTTTCATTCCTTTAACCTGGGGTAGTATAATACCCAATAACAAGTGGAAGTGCTCAACTCAGCATTGCCTCCAAAACTGTAAGCAGTTTATCATTTTAATTGCATTCTGACATGAGTACTTGCATTGTCATAACCAACAATTGAAATAATCTAACTTTTTGCCCTATAAGGACATTTTTTTCTGAAATACCGCAGTTTAGAAGCTGAATTTACTACCCACAGTTGTCTAAATACCAACACATTGGACATTACATTTTTCATAACAGCTTTTTATTTTCTCATAAAATCCAATACAGTATAAGCTGTTAAGAATGTTTTGCATATAAAGCCACCAGATATATAAAATTCTATCATCAGTATTGCATCTAATCTAATATCATTCTAAACTGCAAGCTTTGCCCATTGCAATGTGGTTGAAAACTAAACAACTGTTGTGGGGTCTTCTTATCTTAAGAATGAGTATTTACTAATGCTGAAATACAGAAAAATCCAATTATAAATCATTGTGATCTTCTTATAGAGCAGTTGCACCATAGGTTGTCTTATGGACTGAATACCAAAAGTACTATATACATCTACATTCTGACTCTGACTGCCTGGCTTTATGAATAGCAAGCATTATTGATATGATTTCCAGTGCGCAATGTGAGCGCACTAGGCACAGGAAGTGATGTGAGCAGCAGTCTGATTCCCCAAATGTGTTCAATGGCAGCTATGGTTACAGTGCCCAGTTAAAATTCAGGGTCTAAGTTAATGGCCCCAAACCACCGTGTCATAACAGGGTTGGCCTGTAAATGCTTGCTTTGGAATCAATCAAATAAAAGGTCATGAGCAAAACAGCCATGTGTTTCCCATCTGTATTGCATGCCTTTTTTCACACTTTACAACTTGTGATTCATACTTTGGGGACTTCAGATTGCGCTGTGAATCTCACAGACCAGAAATTGCAATTTATGAAATAAATCTGGTTTGTGATTATCGCAAATTAGACCTCTTTGTTAGTATTGGATTAAGTCCCAGAGTATGTGTCAAATTTGTGATAATCAGTAGTTTGCTGAGAAACTTCAGGTGGATTGACATTTTCTGTATGAGATACATTGCAACTACTGGCATCTCCCTTGAAGTCCAGGGTTGTCTTTATAAAATCAGCAGCTTCTCTGGAATCCTTTGGTTGATCAATGGAAATCACACCTTCTCTGCAATGCTGTGGTGCTTGCATGCCATCAATATCTACTCTAGAATTCTGGTATCCAGGGTTTTGTATTGAATATTGCTGGAAGATATAAAATGTTCAATCATTTTGGCTGGTGAGACAGATTATAATAGGTAGAGCAGGAATACAAAGCTTACCAGAGAAAATGATAATAAAGAAATCACATCCACCAAGAAGAAATCTATCAATTTCAAGGATAACAAATTCATCCTCAATGGAAGTATCTTAATTATTTAATCAGAATAAAATACTTTTTTGACTGCTAGCAGCTGAAGTGCAGTTGAAAGTAATGAGCCATTCCTGTCAATCCTGTCTGTAACTCCACCCCAGAGTCCCTCTGAATTACACCCTCCGTCCTCACTTTCAATACCCACCCTCAGACTTGTTTCTTTGATGGTGTCTTCAGTTATCTTCCTGCGCCTCACCTCCCTTCCCACACCCACCACCATCTTCAGCGCTCCTTCCCCCCCATCCCCAGTGTACAATGCATTGTACATATATGGCATACATATATGTACAATGTATTGTATAAATTGTATATTAATGTACAGGAGAAAACTGACTCCATATTTCTCTCAATGCAATCACATTCACATCACATTCTGTAAATGTTGCTCCCCCCAAAAAAAAATAATGGGAAGTATTTACTCTAGAGAAAATGCAGTCAAATAACTTAAGTGTTAGCTCTTACCTGGGGAATAACAATTAATTGTTTTCTTCTTCGCCTGAAATACAAATATTTAACATTTAATATATTGTGTTATCAGTGTTTTAATATTTTTACCAGCTTATGTTTCAGTATTGGTCACTTTTAGCATATATTTCACAATTTGATATCAATTAAAATCTTCACTACTACCATTAACCGTGATAATCCACATGCCCATTCATTGTATAGTGTTATTAAAATATCATGCCCCAAATATATGGATTAAAAATGTTTAATGAAGGAACTGGATAGTTCTGTGCATTAACATATAACATTTTATGACAAAAATACAATATTCCAATGATATCTCATCTATTTTCCTAAGGCCTGAAATTCTACCTAATCTTAGCCCGTTAAGATCATTTTATCTTAAAATTTAAGGTTGTGCAATATTTCCATATTTGTGGAAAGTTCTTAAATCCAGTCTTAATTTGAAAGCTAGTTTCCACAGTTATTAAGAAGAACTTGCTTTTGAATTAAAGAATTTTCCACAATTCTATGCAATTTTCAATTTTAAGGCAAAATAGTTTTACAGGCTAAGACGAGGTGGAATGTCAGGTCTCTGGAAGTATTGACTTATGTAGGACTATGGCACATTGGGGGCTGGATGGCCCTCGGCTCACCCTACACTCATTCTTAATTTGTTACCTTCGGGATCTAGTTTAGACTAATGATTAAAAAATAGCAATCTTTTGTTTTTGTAGTTCTTTCGTGAATCACATATTCACAATTCACTGAGTTAGTCTTTTGAGTGGTGGTTCGGTGGGGCTGAGGAGGGGGATAAAACCGATGAAATCCACTTCCTGTCATCACCAAACATAGACTGAGCCTTCTACCCTCAGGCCAGCTCTGTTACTTACTGATAGACAGCATGATCGAAACAAAACCAACCCAACCAGATACCAATCAGATCCGGTCAAAAATTTGAGTACGTGTAACATTTCATCCAACAAGCTTACCGAGGACGAGGATATTAATTTAGTTGAGGTAAGGAAATTGGAGTTACAGTCGGTACTGTGACTATGACTCATGATTCTTTGGTCCAAATGACTGAACCACTTAAAGTTTCAACATCAGATTTATTGATAGTTAAACATGGGCTATGATTATTTTTCACAAAGTTCTCATTTATGTCACTGTGAACTTCAGCTTGATGCATTATCTCAGCCTGGCCATTGAATCAGTAATATCTAGCTCATTGGTTAATGTAATTTGCAGAAGCATAAGTCACGTGTTTGTTGTCAGGGTGATTTAGATAGAACAAGGTTAAAACAAAGAAATGCAACATCATTTTGACCTATTTTAAAAAAAACATATTTGGGGAGTTTTTTTCTGAATTTTGCAATCGCCAAGATGAGCGATATTTGCGTAATGAAATGCAACACTTTCCCATGATGGGCATCCATTGTCATCATCAATCACTTTCAGGTCAGGTATAGCATTTACATGCAGAATAAAGACTCGTATAAAAACTCTCAGCAATGAGGGTCTTACAAGTGATTTAAATCTTGATATTCCTAAAGTATTAATTATGAAATCAACATATAGAAATGCAAACTAGATGCAGATTCACCTCACGTTGGAGATATTTTGTTCAAAGCCAACTTGATGATAATAAAGAAAAGGTTAAAGTCATGTCTTAATTGTATTCATGAGGATTTTTATCAATACGGTTACAATACAGCAGTATGAATAGTCAAGAGTCCATGTTGTTTTGTACCACGTTTGGCAAACCAAACACGTCACATTCCATCACCTAATGTCTGGCAAAATCTGTACATTCAAAAACAACAAATATGTTTTAAATAAAGAAACCTGATTATATACAAAAGCACATAGTTATATAACAGCTGTGCTCTCCTAAATCAATAATACAGTCTGCATTTGATGAAACACATTATCATGTTGAAATATCAGAAAGTAATTCACACAAAATTACCGAAGTCCAGATATTTGTTAGGAGTCAAACGTGGTCACTCAATTGTGGTAGCAATGTATCATGAGCAGTAATTAGATGAATCACTTTTGGTGGTTGAGGAAAGAAAATTGGGTAGGAACCCAGGCAAACTCCCTGCTTTTTTGAAATAATGAACAGTCTATGTGACACTACACTGGAGTGTGAGCGAGATAATGAGCGCTCAAGACTTAAAGTAAGGCTTGAACCAATTCCTTCTGATTTAAGTTGATTGTGCAAGTGAGCCAACTGAAGCAAGAGACAATTGAGCCAAACTTGCACTGGAGGCTCCACCTCCAATATGCCCTCATTCTAGAAATTATCCTCTAACTAAGAACATATTGTGTGGGAAACTGCTGAAATAAATCCAGCATCCCTCTTCTTGTGAGGATTTCCAAAGGTGTGCAAACACTCTTGGCTCCTGTCCCAAATTGTATAAAGCCAGTCAGTCTGGAGGACTGTTGACCAATAGTCAGGCAAGAACCTGCAGGAAAACTTGAGGCTTTTATTTCTATGTATGTGAATTGGTAGTTACTTTATCAACATTTTTTTTTAATATGACAGAATAAATCTGATATTTTCTTTGTGACTTCCAGTATCAAATGCGTAAAACTGAAATGCTTTATAAATGGAGAATAATGAACACCTGATAGTGATTTCAAGCCAGTAACAAGTTCAGGGTCTATAACATAAATCAGGAATTTGACACTCAAGTGAATTACATCTATCATCTAAACAACAACATGAAGTTTTATCCTTGAAATAACTAGTGGGACATTCATACTGTGAAGTTTATGAGATCATTTTGTTACACATGACATTGATGTTTTAGTCATCAATGGCTGTCATGCTTGCTAACTCCAGTCCTCTGTGGGTCATTGATCTGAGATGGTGCCCATTCTGAAGGATTAATGAACATAGTCCCTGAAATATATCATATCGCTGTAGTCAACATTTATCATATGTCAATAATTCTCAATGGTTAGCCAAGAAGCCAACTGTGCAATGCAGTGGACTTTTGGCTGATGGATCATAGCATAGTTCACATTTTACTGGCTTTACTCTTCCCTTTTTGATTAAGTTATGTCAGCATCCTGTTAACACGGAAATCCATTCTGTGAGCCAGAGATCCAATGTGCAGCAAGGTTGGCTTCTCAGTGCAACATTGGGAAGGAGTGGTGGGGGAGAGGGAATCAACCTCCAGGATACCTAGGGGCCAGCTATGTTCATTCGCATTGTTGTTAAATTCAGCCAATTCACTGAATGTGTATGTTAATTAACATTATAGGTGTTAATTAATACATCACTATTTTCATCCAATATGTTTTATAGGCACCTCGTGCAAATGACTCCAAGTGTGATATCTAGCTGCATTCAATTCTGATTCTAAAAGTAATTTAAAAAAATGATTTGATGTAATTTATTTTTGGACAATTTTCAAAAAGGGCATGTTTTTCAGATAACCTTAATGAATTCAATTTGAAGTATACTTACCATCTAAAAATGTAGTAAGTGAATGCACTTGCCAGGAGCACCAAACATATTGTGATTAACACAATATTTGTAGAAGTCCCTGAAATAATAAATCATAACAGCCATTAAATCTTTCATCTACACTATTTAATTCATTTGACTTGATGTATTGCTATTTGCTTTTTCAGTAATGCAGCCATTCAATACAGTAGATTTCCGTTATGTATCTGTTATCACTGAAAGACATACTGAAAGGATGATTATTCTTTCTGATAGTCTAGAACTGGAATAGAATGAGCAAAAGGCAAAGCTACACGGAATTCTGTTTCAGGTAACCTACAAGTCAGATTATTTTAAATAAATTTCAGTCCCACCATGATATTTCAGATTTAATTTTTTGATAATAACAATGCCAGTATTCCAAGTGGAATCAGATATTTTCCTCTTCTGACTAATCGCTTTGCCAGCAGTACTAACAAAAATGGAAGCATTTCCTTTCAACTCTTGCTTTTGGTAACCGCTATGCTAAGTAAAGAAAAACACAAATGTTTTAAGAAATATATAGGGCACCTGCTGGACTATAATAATAATAATCCTTGCATTTGATATAGCACCTTATCATGTCATTGAGACGTCTTAAATTGCATCACAGAATGTATTGTAAACTAGATTGACTGTGTATTTTGTGGGTGAAACACGGCAGCCAGTTTGCACACAGCAATGTCCCAGAACAGCCATGGAGTGAGTGACCAATTGGAAGAATTGTTTGTCAGGACACAGCGAGAAATAATGGCACCTTTAGATTCCTCAAATGAAAGTGAAAAAAATTCGACAAGTCTAGGTTATGTTTTTAAAGGTCCATCCAGAGAAAAAGTCAGCCTTGACACGAGGATTGGAGAATAATCAGTGAATAAAGCTGTGATGGGAAATTATCGCAATTTAAGAACATCTAAAACATTAGGATGAGAAAAAGGTAATTTGATCGACCAAAGCTCTGGCATTTTAACACTCAATGGAACCTAAGAAACCTCAGTGCACAATTATAACAGTTCTACAGCATTTGTTTCTTAAGTTAGGAGTTCTAAATCCTGTTTCTTTCATGATTCATATCCATCTTTGTTAAGATAACATACAAAATATTGCTTTTTTTAATAACTTCCCTTCAAAAGGGCATTGGTGAACTGTAGAAGATTCAGAAAAAGGTCTTGTTTGCCTGTTCAGGTGGATGTTAAAGATCCTATCACTTATCTTTTATCAAAAAGGGAAAAGAGTTTCTCCCGATGCACTGGTCAGCAATCCCCCAAATAAAATTAAATTCATGGCTGTGGGACTCTGTTGTGTGCAAATTAGCTACTGTTTTCACCTACAAATGCGTACAACCTTTACAGAAAACTCACTTCAACTTACATTATATTAAATATTAGGATTATAACTTTTTATTGAAAAAGTAATTTCTATGGTTCTAAAGTTGAGAAGGGCCTGATCTGGATCTTGAAAATACAAACAGGTTGAATGATGTCAACCAGGCTACTAAATTGAAAATGTGATTTCTGAACTAGAGAACATAGTGCAAAGATCAATGATTCTTAAGTGAGAGGTTTGAAGAAGCTGGATTTTCTCACTGAGTAGGACATGTGTGAAACAGACTTCCGTCAAAAAGAATTACTACAATATTGATTAGCTCTTTTGAAAAAGAAGCCGTATGGTTAGGATTGGTATGGGAACCCTATATACAGATGGAGATGGTGACATAATGTATAATGTATATAAAACTGGTGTTTCTCCTTAAGACCCTGGAAATATCATATGTGGAATGCAGCCTTTAGGCTCAAATAACATTATTTTTAAAGTCAGATTCATATCCTGCAGTTTCACTTGATTAGCATTGAGGGTCCGATTTTTTCCTTCTTAGAATTTATTCATCTCTCTTTAAAGACTGCACAAGGACTGCTGGAAGGAATGGGCTTGAAGATCCAAATGAGCTTTTCTTATGCTTGACATTCCAAGTAGTTTATATTCATATCTGATACCTCCTGCACTAGAAGATCAGCATCTTCCTCTGAGAAATTGCACTCTCATGAAAATGTTTCTTCAGCTGTGACAGAGTCGCTTTTGAACTCTCAAAACTGCAACCCTCTCAAAAAGATTACTTTTGTCTTGTACTTAATTGATTAATTAAGTACTGTCTCCTACTCTCGCTCCTCCCTCTGGTTCACCACCCACCTCCGCTCACTGAAGAGCCAGGTGCGGGCCGCTGAACGCACCTGGGTCAAATCTGGCCTAACGGTCCACCGACAAATCTGGCTGGACCGCCTCAAAATCTACCGCTCCACTCTAGCCTCGGCCAAGTCGTCCTTCTACTCCAAGATAATCCTGGAGGCAAAGAACAACCCCAGGCTACTGTTTTCTACCACATCCCGACTCCTCCGTCCCCCCTGCCACCCCACGCAGGTCATCTCCTCCAACCTTCACTGTGAGGAGATGCTGGATTTCCTTGAATCCAAAATCAAGGGAATCCGCTCCGCGGTCACTTCCCCTCCAACATCCACCCTAACCCTAACCCTCCCACACTCCGACTCCTACCCACTTTTGTACCCGTTTCCCCACCCTCTGTCACCAAACTCATCCTATCCCTGAAACCCACCACCTGCTCCCTTCACCCCATCCCCACTCCACTCCTTATCTCCCAGCTCCACCTCCTTGCCCCACAGACATCGTCAACCTGTCCCTCTCCTCTGGCTCTGTTCCCATTCCCTTAAAAACTGCCACCATCACTCCCACCTTGATAAAACCCTCCCTTGATGCGTCGCAGCTATCAAGCTACCGGCCCATCTCCAACCTCCCCTTCCTGTCCAAGGTCCTTGAACGAGTTGTCACCTCCCAGCTGCGCTCTTTCCTCTCCACCCATTCATTATTCGAACCCCTTCAGTCGGGTTTCCGTGCTGTCCATAGCACAGAAACTGCCCTGGTCAAGGTCACCAATGACATCCTGACCATCTGCAACCAGGGCTCCCTCTGCCTCCTCGTCCTCCTCGACCTATCGGCAGCATTCGATACGGTCGACCACGCTATCCTCCTCCACCGCTTGTCCTCCCACCTCAACCTTCAAGGCCCTGTCCTTGAGTGGTTTAGGTTGTACCTCTCCCACCGTCTTCACTTTGTTTCCACGAATGGCTTTTCCTCCAGCCCCCGCACAGTCTCGTGCTGTGTCCCTCAGGGCTCTGTCCTCGGTCCCCTCCTCTTCACCCTCTATATGCTCCCCCTTGGTGACATCATCCGCAGACATGGGGTTAACTTCCACATGTATGTGGATGACACCCAACTCTACCTTTCCTCCTCTACACTCAACTCCACGACCACCGATGTCCTGACAGCCTGCCTGTCCGACATCGAGTCCTGGACGAGAGATAACTTTCTTCAGCTCAACGTGCGTAAAACTGAGGCCCTCCTGATTGGCTCACGTCAGCCCCTCCGCACCTCAGGCGCTGACAGCATCAGCATCCAAGGCTGCACTCTCCACCTCTCAAAGCCAGTCAGGAACCTCGGTGTTCTGTTCGACCCTGAGCTGTCCTTTCTCCCTCATATCTGCGCCACAACTGGCACCGCCTTCCATCACCTCCGGAATGTCGCCAGACTACGGCACTACCTCACCCCTCACGCGGCTGAAACTCTGGTCCACGCCTTTATCACCTCAAGGCTGGACTATGGGAACTCTCTCCTCGCCGGCCTTCCCGGCACCTCCCTCCACAAGCTGCAGGTCATTCAGAACTCTGCAGCTCGCGTACTGTCCCGCACCAGGCTTCGGGACCACATCACTCCCACCCTCGCTCGCCTCCACTGACTCCCCATCCCCCAGAGGATCGAATTCAAGATCCTCATCCTCACCTACAAGGCCATTCACGGCCTTGCTCCCTCCTACCTTCTGACCTACTATCCCCCTACCTACCTGCCCGTACCCTCCGTTCCTCTGGCTCCGGTCTGCTCCACATCCCCCGCCCCAACAGCCTCTCAGCCCCGAGGCTCTGGAACTCTATCCCCCAGTGCCTTCGCCTTGCCTCCTCCCTTTCCTCCTTCAAGGCCGGTCTCAAGACCTTTCTCTTTGACCGTGCCTTCAGCTCCCCTCTCGACTCTCTACCCCCTCCTCGCTCCCTCCCTTCCCTCCCCTCACCCTGACCATTTCCCCCCTGCTTGGGTCCTGACCCAACTGTACAGCGCCTTGGGACGTCCTCCCGACGTGAAAGGCACTCTATAAATGGAATCTTGTTATGTTTGTTGTTGTTGTTGCAATTAAGGGTGAATACAAACCCTGAATTCAGCTCCATTTTCCATTCAAAAATATCTGAATGTTTTACAATAACACAATACCAAACATCTTTCTGTTTATCTTAACCAATAAACATGTAGTCTCCCTATTGTTACATTATATATTCAAAGATATATTTTTTCTCATTTACACAGTCTTTGGCCCTTTTGGGCTTGTAGTGTGCTGCCACTAAATAGTGGTGAGCGAGCACCACAGGAAATGTTTTTGGGTGCTTTTTACAAGACATATGATCATATGATTACAATAAAGATCTAAGATGAATACTTTTCAAAATCCATGCAGCCTATCTAAATTAAGCAAAATTAAGTACTGCTCAAAGGGGTGTAATTTTATTATTAATAATAAAGGATACGAAGGCCAAGAAAATGTATAGTGACCTAAAAAAACAGAATGAAGGACAGTATATTCACCATATTGCAGATTAGCACAATCTCTGTGAGGGGAGCCAGGGATTAGGAGAGAGGGAATGGCCTTGACATAGAATGGTCAGACAGACAGGATTTCACAACAACTGATGTACAGTCACATTAATCAAGGGGTGCTAGCAATATATATTCATGGAGTCAAATGTCTATTTTGATAAATGAGCATAATGATGAATGTCCTGAAAGTGCTCAGAAAATGTCAGATGATGTGTTCTGAATCTTTGAATTTTTGCACTTTTGAGATAAAGTTTAGTTAAATGGATATATTTTATTTGCACGTGATCCTCTGCTGGACTGTTCGTAACCATCATTTTTTAAAAAAAGAGTACAAGGTAGTACAAAACAGCATTT